TTATTGGTGTACCTGTTAAAGGTAAAACCTTGGATGGTTTGGATTCTTTATATAGTATCGTGCAGATGCCGGTAAGCCACCTTATACTTGTTATTTGGAAGTTTGTTGAAAGAAATCAACTTCTTAAATTGATATCCTATTACTTAGAGAGGAATACCTGTAGCCACTGTAGCAATTAATAATTCAACAAATGCTGCAATCTTGGCGGTTAGGCAACTTGGGGCATTTATTCCTGGGTATTTAGAGAAAATGCAAGAATTTATGGAAAAACAAGAGAATGAAGTTTTGGTGAAAGTTGATAAGTTAGAAGAAGTTGGGTGGGAAAGTTATTAATATAAATCTGTTAATTATAATATTTTTACTCGGCATCGTTAAATCACACCACTGGTGTTTAACACACTATAATTTTTGCTATGAGCTGCAGTGTAACGTGATCAAGGTGTAACACAAAAGATTGTTTATTTTTTAAAAAATTGTTATAGCTCAAAAATTCATCTATGAAACTACCTTTGGGGCTCTAACAAAAAAATTCCTTACAAAATTTTGGTATAAACTATGTTTTTGCCCCATCCCAGGCCTCAACCCTAACCCTAATATTAATTTAATTTTTGTTTTATAAAAATGATTTTGTTCTACATGTTACACGGATTTTCATACGGCTGGTGTTGAACACCACAGGTGCGATATATAATTTTTGTTTATAATTATTTTGTAACCATAATAAACAAAATAATACGTATAAACTATTAACGTTATAAACAGCATTATCATTTATTTTATTTTTTTATTAAATAATTAGAATAGAACAATAGAATTAAATTCTGTTATTTTTAATTGTTCTATTGAAAATTCTTAAAAATATATAAGTTTTTAAAGAGTTTAAAAAAAAATTGATAAAAAGTATAGATAGATTTTAGTAAGTATTATAGGTTTAAATAGAGAATTCCAAGTTCTAGCATAAGCTACTACAATAATTATTGTTACGGCTGATGCTGAAGTTTGGCTGATGTTGAAGCTAAAAAA